CACGAGTAATCTATAAAAATGTTCCGATTGTTTTATTTCATAATACAATTGAAATCATAAATCAAAAAGTTAAGTCTTAATTTATAACACATCATCAAAAAAAGACATATGAAATATCATAATATTCTAGTCCTTTGATATTAAATTCATGTTGACGAATGGGTTGTATAATCATTTTTTTTGTAAACGAATTTCTACTATTTTATCATCACACTTAAATGTTAGCTAGATGACATAATATACTATAGAATGGCATAATATTACTAGCAGATCATCGAACTGGATTTATGAAAATATATATGTGACATAGACTTTTCAAATTTATATATTTCATATAGATGACAACAGATTTATATAGAAACGTAACATCATTAATATCTATCAAGCACTCTAATAACTAAGTTCAGAAGTGCTATTCCTGATATTTGTATTTAATGAAAGTTATTGAATATCTCCATTACGACTTGAGCAAACGAGCTCATTTTTTTATCAATGATAGAAGCATGTTCAAGCTTTATATCCACAAAGACATGCCTAACGAAATCCTTTGTTAAGTATCACTATTGATCTTACGAAAAAAAAGTTATTTTTTCCAAGATAGGAAATAAAATAATATCCTTAACAAAGTATCTCGTTAGGCGTGTCTTTGTGGATATAAAGCTTGAACATGCTTCTATCATTGATAAAAAAAATCAGCTCATTTGCTCAAGCTGTAATTGACATATTCAATTTTGTTTTCGATAAAGTGACCTTTGCACCGTCCTTTATATTATTTAATTTCTTATCTGTGAAAAAGTAACATTTTTTTCTTAAGATCAATAGTGATACTTAACAAAGGATCTCGTTAGGTATATCTTTGTGGATATAAAGTTTGAACATGCTTCTATCATTGATAAAAAAAAAATGAGCTCGTTTACGCAAGCCGTAATGGAGATATTCAATTTTTTCTGTGTTACCTTACTTTTGGCCCACTCGGTATGATGTATAGATTCCTTTGACAAAAGATCATTGTTAATAAGTTGTTCTAGCATCTAAGAATATATATGCTTCTTGTTCTGATCATCTCAACTGATAGTCGTTCATACTCAACACTATCACTAGTGAGCATACAGTTTGCAAATCAATTTCTATTGGAATAAAAACAACAAAAATTCTGAAAATACACTTAGAAAGAGCATCAAATTCTGATCGTAGCTGCTTACTTTTTATTCTCCTCAATAGCATCTGAGTGTCCAAAAAATGAGCAAATATATACGAAGAGCTGTTAACTGAGTGTTTTGTACAAACATCGTTTTTGATCCCTTGAAGGATTTACGCTTAATGAACCAACCATACGTCAGAAAAAAATTCTGAACACATATGTAGAAAGAGCACGAAATGCTCGTTTTGGCTAATTACTTTTGATTCACTCTAGTGAGTTATACGTGGTCGACAATTGATTAAACATCTACTGCAAAGACTTTTGCAACAAGAGTAAAAAACGTTTCTGAAAAAGTTTAGTAATATTCTCACATTTATACCACTCTTATTTTTTAAGCTGGAATCTTTATTTTTGCACAATAAGTATATCTTCAAATATTCTTGAACATGAGTATTTACTTGTTGAAATTACTTCAGTGGCTGCAGAGATATATCGATCACAAAAGTTCTGAGAACTTTTTTACCTTATATTGATACAAAATACATTAAGTGAAAAATCTCTATCAGACTACAGTTGTTTTCCAAGGATAAGCAATCGCCAGAAGAAACAATCTGCTTTATCTATTTCTGCATGTTGAATAGAATTTTTACTGTCACTCTATTTTTTTGTTTGTCTTGTTGCTATTCTTTTTTGTATTATGTAACTCGATGAGCTCACGAACACTAATATTGATTATTTCTCAAACTTATAACTTGATCAGTTCATGCTTATTTTATGTCAATTATATGATGATCGTAACAAATCAATACATCACTACCTATCATTATTGAAATCTTGAATATAAACTTTTATCTGCGAAAAAATCTGAAAAAGTGCACTACTTTGAACATTCACAAACATATTCCAGCCATTCAAATTTTGCGGAAAACTTTCGAATGTTCTAGAGTAGTTCATATTGTACAGAGCATTTTTCTGTTGTGAAGAAATCAGTGTGACGCCTTTTTTCCTTGATTTCTAGAGAAATGTACTCAATAACGTTGGCTTTTCTCCTTTTAACCTTCCTACTACTAGAAAAAACATATTCATTAACCTCTAACCCTGAATCCTGGTTGCTAAAATATTTAGGAAGAGAGAAAGTCTCAAAGCATTGTCATAACACTTATATTCATTATATTTTTCTTCGAAAATATAAGAAATACGTAACAGTGATAGAAAAAAAACCACGATTTAGACAAGTGTCACGTATGCATAAAAAAATTAGCTATCACTTCAATTTATTAATAGCTGTCGTCTTTTAAAATAGAGCTAATTGTAGCGAATCTAGGTCTCTATATGACCATAACTATAATACATGACAAATATAATTTATTCCATAAAAAAAAGAGAAGAGCAAAAAAAAACATGAAAATTTGAATCTGAATTTGTAAACAAACAACTATAGTGCTCGAACACCCTATAATATCGAAAAATTTATCTTAAATTTAATTGTATGTCATCAGTTATGATATATAGCCTTGTAGTAAAATTCATTTTTTTGCTATATTGTAAATTTAGTCATAGGAAACAATTATTCATCCGGATGTTATTCGAAATGATATAGAGAAATTTCAAGATATTTCAAGTTATGAATTGTCTAATGATGATAATGATTTATAAGAAAACAACAGGTACAGCAGATTCAACGACTCTCTCAACATTTTTATTTGATATATCAATCTATTCTTGTCTTTTCGAAACAAATTGTTTTTTTGATTTAAAAGATTCAGATTTTAATTCTCTAAAAAATTGTATATAATTATTAATGAAAAAAAAAATTTTCCTAATTTTCTGACAAATAATATAGATAGGGGTGCAACAAATCCTTATTTTTTGTACATTTTTGTACAAATATTGAAACTTTTCTGAATGAAAACCCCCCCAAATCCAACCAAATCTTCGTGTCAATCATGATCAGCTTTAATCGCTCTTTCTGATACTGGTATTTATTTACCAAATCCCTACCAAATCGTGCGTAGAATTTGGTGGGATTTGTTAAATATATCGCCATTTTCACCAAATCCTGCCAAATCTTACGCAAGATTTGGTAGGGATTTGGTAAATAAATACCAGTATTAGAAAGAGCGATTAAAACTGATTATAATTGACATGAAGATTTGGTTGGATTTGGTGGATTTTCATTCTGAAAAAATTCAATCTTTGTACAAAAAATAAGGATTTGTTGCACCCCTAAATATAGAAAGAGTATTTGAATAAACATCACTTTTCATCTTAGCGTATGAAAGTTTGTTATCATACTTATTAATTATTTAAGTGATGTTATTTTTTTCACTCTAATTTATTCTAACTTGGTACTGATAAATTTCCATTGAAATAGAATATTCTATTGATTTAGACATCGATTATTCGAAAATCAAATATCTTTTATCAACATAAGACACAAAAATGTTACAACTTCATCATTGAATAAAATGATGACATGTATATTTATGTTCTTATACTCGAACTTCTTTGTGGTTATTAAGCTTCTTATTCTTTATAAGTGTAAATTCAGTCTTTTTGACTCAACACACATTGGATAATTATAATTCTTACAGTAATCTGAGAATTAAAGCAATTAAATGAACAGCTACAAATTGACATAGGAGTATTGTATGGATAAATTGCAATTTTGTACCTTCTGACGATAAGGATCATTGATCTTAGAGAATAATCAATGCTCAGATCAGTGCAATTTTATTTAATTTCAATGAAAATTCGCCAGTAACAAACAGAGATGGAATCGATGTGTTAATATTGATATCAACTCCCGTTGATCCTCCCTTCCTCTTTCCTCTTTCTACTGTTCTTTCTTATGCTCATCTTCCTTCCTTCTATATAAGCATGTGTCGTATGTGAAGTAGTTACATTCTGTAGATATCAAGTAGCTCAATAAAGATCATTAGCGACTGTAATGGTGAGCTACGCTTCTAGTTTGTCGTTACAATCGGTTCGTGCTTTTTCGGAACTGAATCGGACTCCATTTCTGCTAACAAATGAGAAGAGCTAAGAGTCAAATAGAGCATCACTTGAGTGATTAATAAGTATGATAGCAAACTTTCATTAAAAGGCTAAGTTGGAACGTGGTTTGTAATCAAATACTTTTTTTATATTGCCTGTTAGAAACCTAAGAAACATTTTTTTTTATTAATAAAAATATACAATTTTTTAGAGAATTAAAAGCTGAATTTTTTAATTTCAGAAAAAATTATATCAAAATGACAAGGACAAATTGAAATACCAAAAAAAAAAATATATGAAGAGAGTCATTTATTTTGTCGTACCTATTTAGTTATTCCATAACAAATTATATTCAAAGTTTATATCCCACATGCTATTAACTATAAAAATTGTTTAATTAACTATAAATATGTAAAATAAAAAACATTAATATTTATTATATTAGTAATAGTTCGTATGACAGCTGAATGTCAAAATCGAATATAGATTATTTGAATTACTCTGAAAAAAAAAAGACAAATGCCAACAGAAATAAGGAACAAAAAACAATCATAAATAATGATATGAAGCAGCAGAGAAAATATTTGCAGATCCTAAGTTAATACTATTCATGGAAGTTTTCAAATTGATTATTTTGAAAATTATACCATAATTTCAATTATTATCTTTTCACGATATATATATATATATATATGTGTATTAATTTAAAATCAAAAAAAAAAAAAACATTTTAATTGATGGTAAAAAACGCACAGCATGTTGTTCGAGTTTATTTGGTTGATATAGATTATTACACAAAATATATAAGAAAGAAAAAAAGATCGAAAGAAAAAGATAAATCCTGCTCTTTATTATTATTCTTTTATGACATATTGTCCGCTGTATTTTCATTGTCATCATCCAATTCTGTACGCTGTGCCATTAATTGTTGAATAGTCAAAGGATTTACTAAAGAATTAAATAAACAAAAAAATTATATCATTATCAAATGAATTAACTTACAATCACTACTGTAACCCGAATATCGAGGATGTGCATATTGATTACGATATGCTTGATCATAGAGTTCTCGAAGAGTATAATGATATTTTTCATCACTATCACTTTCAGATCGTTTTCCCCATAAATTATTTAAACGTTTTCCCCATAGTCCATTTATACGTTTATTTAAAACGCTAAAATGCATTAAAACAAACAAACAAATGTATTCTGGAATAAAACCAAAAAACATAACTTTTTTAATTCTATATTAAACTTGTTTATTATTCTACTTTATTTTTTAAAGATTATTAAAATACAACATTACTTAAATTATCACTATTTTCAGTTATATACGTTTTGTTTTTCGGCAAAGTTTGATGTAGAGAACAATTGAAATGGAATAAACTCAGAAAAACAACAACGAAGTAAATAACTTCATCCATTTTATATATCAATTGTATTCATAGAAATAAACTACTCAAACCAATGAATATTCACTAATGATCAAATAGATTAAGAATTGAGAATATCTTTAAATTTTTTGCTAATTTTACATATAATCATTTACAAGACTATACGATGTCGAAATGAATATTTTTCCTAAAAAAAAAAAATATCTCTCGAAAATGATTTATGAGCTAAGAAAACAAAAAAAATCATTGTCTCATTGAATCACATCAGGTTTTTGTGCCTTTTTGAATCTGTTAGATACTATTGTGTTATTCTCTTTTATTGACTAGCTAACACGGAAAAAAAAACAAAGAGGATCAATTATATAGTTATAAGTAGATGAAAGAAAAAACCCTTAGAAATACATGACAATTGAAAATTAGAATATCGAATAAAAAGAGAAAAAAAATCTATTATTTCAGTAATCGGAAATATTCTGATTTTTTGCTGCCTAAGTTTAAAACGGAACTGAATGCCATTCGTAGCTGCTCATTATCTTCTATGCACTTACTGTTTGTAATTGTCACTATTCGCAGAACTTTCCATTAGTTTAGCTTGAATTAAACATGTTTGTATCAAGACAATGAGTAGGACGAATATGAAGATATATAACTTCATTTTGATGATAAATCTAAAGTGATTATTTATTAATCTTATGTAGAAAAGTAACAGTTAAGAAAACAGATTTAGATAGATGAAAAGACGACTGTTTGTATAGATTGACGGTGAATGAAATGAATGACATTGATGAGATACAAGAGGAAAAAAAAAAGGAAGCGCAGAGAAATTTTTCTCTCTCTCTATATATATATATATTTTTTTTTCTCTTCAATCTCCGCCTCTGTAAAATATTTTTTTCTCTTTGGGCTAGAATAAAATGATTACTATGATTTGACATTTTATTCATTGTTTGTGATTTAATCTTAATAATCTTGTTGAAATCTTCTTTCAAAAAAATGAATTTTTATTTAAGCAAATATTAAAATTTTCCGGACGAAAAGAAATAAGCTCTTACGAAATAATAGTCGTCTGTCGAAGAAATAGAATTAGTTTTCTTTCTAACCTACAAAGTTTACTTTGAATTTATATTAAAAAAGATTATTTATTCATAATTTACTAAAATCAACAAAAAAAAAACTTTCTTGACAAACCTGACCTGACAAGAATAACGATTAAAATAAAAAAAAACAAATATATGATAAAACGACATACGACCATTAGTTTTTTTTCGTTATACTATATATCCTTCCGATAATAAATGAAAATCAATTTTCAATTTCATTAAAAATCTAATCACGCAATCACATGTTACTCATCATATGCAAACAAAAAAATACAACAAGAATTTTTCTTCAACCGTGATTGACACATACAGGACACGATAATATTAACAGTTGTTATTTATCTGTTGAACAGAATCAATAATTAGTTTATCTGTTTATCGAACGAAAATTATTTATTAGATAGTAGAATATTTTCTTTTTAATAAACAATTTGTGTTATCGATTCATTTAATGAACCAAAATACAAAATATCTTATTTATTGATTAATAGTTATTTTTCACAGGTCATGCATTACTAATTTTCTAATTAGAGAATAAATTTTACCAAGAATATTTTTTTGTTGATCAAACCATATTGTACTGTATTACACATAAATATCTGTTTAACGGATAGATAATAGAGATAATAGATACGTTAAACTTTTTCTTCTATGGTCTAGCTAATACAAACACGTATACATAAATAGAATGCCATTAGAAATTATCGGTTTTTTTTTATCGAATATAAACATAATGCCAAATAAGTAATAACTATTGTTTATATTTTCGTATGAAGACTGTTGTTATTAAGTATGAACATCTAGTGAATAAAATCAATGTATATTTGATATACTTTTTACTTTATAACATGTATTATATAGTATGAAATGATCTTATATTTTGGTTAATAATCTTTGGATTGCAATAAGTTTTGTATACAAGTCATTGAATTAGTTTTCAACAAAGGATAAAAATTTTTTTTTTCTTTTATTGAAATAAATATCTGATATATATCGATCTATGAGTACAGTAAATTAATATAAAACGTTTTTGTTTTTTTTGTAAATAACCTCAAAGTGTTCTCAATATCATCGTTTCAAGATTTTTTTTATTTCTGTTTTTCTTATACTTTTCATGTCTTTCAATGTCGACACTTTGTGTTTTCCTCTTCTCGCTCTTTCATAAGTCTCGGAATTGAATAGTTCATAAGAGCAGCAGCATCTAGAATTCTAAATCAATAAATCATTACGTGTTATAACTTAAATATTAAGTTCTTTCATACAAACAATGATTTATTTTGCTATGCGATTTGATGCATATTTTGTTCCTTGTATTGCATCATCAAAACATAAGCATAAAATTTTATGTTTAATAAATTATTCTATTATATGTTTCTAATAGTCTTTACGAATAATTGTCGATTCATGTTCGATAAAATCTAACTAAACTCTCTCATGAGTATTAATTCGAGTGCAAACTAGTATGGTCATAGAGTGTAAACTATTTCATTGGATCATTTCGATTTTTTTTGGTCTAGTAATCTATTACTTCTAATACAATATATACATTTTTTAATACATTTGCATTGACATAAAAAAACATATTTCGCTGGTAGTTACCATATTTTTCTATTATCCATTGTGCAGTTAATAATGAATATGCCAAGGTCTTGGATCATATCTTTTCAATAACAGCTGGATATAATCGATATATTTTAATGATATTTTCCATGAACAATATTTATGAATAATACAAAGAATTGTTTTAATACTCATATAACATCTAGCTGGGATTAACAGATTAGTTGAAAGTTTTTTTTTTTAATCTATGTCTGATATAAAACAACAAACAATACAAGTTTTGTTGCTATAAATAACGTTGAGGATAAAAGTTTTAATTAGCATAGTTCAGACTGTTCTTCAATCTTATTAGTAATAAGATTATTCATACTTTTACAATACATATATGTTCATTAAAAAGATATTCAATAATCCTTTCGATCTCGATCAAAGATTTTGTTTTTTCTATTTGAAAATATCTGTAGTATTGAAAACATCAACGAATACGATAATCCTCAGATCTATGTAAGTTATTAATAAAGAAGAAAAAAAATCTATGCAGAATTTAATGACCTTTATATATATATATAGATTGTATTCAATTAAAAAAAATTCTTCTTTCTTTTTTTGTAAAGCACACACATACATTGAGTTAAGAATAAAAGTAAAAATTCTAACTCTCTATGTACACATACACACAAAAGAAAAACAAATGAAAATATGGCGGACAAGGTTAGGAAGTTGTATTATTAGTTCCATTTGTTGTTGATAATTTTTCTGTATTGCTTGTAGCTGTTTGCTGTTGAGCTTTGGAAATATAAACATTTAATAATTTGATCTAGATAAATAACAAAAACAAAACCTAGATTATTTATAAATAAAAGAAATATTTTTAATAATCAGATTATTCGATTAATAAATAGATACAAAAAATGCTCGAAACTAAAAATATTTCAAAAGAAAATCCACAATAAAATGATATTGAATAGTACGTTTTTTCTCTTAATTATTCCTACTCATGGAGTTTGAATGATAAATACGTAAAATTTTTACATATGAATACAGAATAATATCGCTAAAATTTAATTTTAAATAAAAAAAAAACAAGTCAATCAATTGATTATCAAGAACTAATTAAATTTCATTATGAGTTTCGAAGGTGTTGCTTTAAATATATGAATTTTCTTTTTCTTATTTTTCTTTGTAATACACGAAAGTAGATGTATTTCGAAATGAAAGATTGATTATTTGAGAAGATGGATTACTACTTAATATTCTCAACATATAAAAAAATTTTGCTTAGCTTTGTACAAATTTTTTTCAAGTTTTAAGAGATCATTATTCCTATCCTTCCGCATATGAGGAATACTTCTACATACAAGAGTTTAACTATAAGTATGACTATGACTTTACCTTGCTTGGACTTAATTTATGTAAATGAGTACGAAGTGCATCACCAACAACCAAATAAATCGATACTAAACAAAATACAGCCGCTTTTCTTACACTTGATGTTTCATTATCCCAAGACTAAAATTACGAAAATCTTATTTTATTAATAAATTTAATTTAAGATTGAAGCAATCTTTAAAGGCATCATATTGCATGCAGGCATGTCAGGCAAAGCAATAATATTTGATATTCTTATTGAAAAACATTCGTTCTTGTTTTCTCATGCACTTACACTAGTCGCACCAGTAAGACCCTGGGAATTAGCATCCCACACCTTTTTTTGTGGAAATAGGTATTTTAATTTTTTTTTGTAATCAAAGAAAAAAAGAGAAATTTAATTTTAACTTACTGTTAAAAGTGATGGAATCATTTCAGGCATTAAATCTAAACATGTATCTTTATTCATGAATTCAATTGTTTTTTGTAACATTGTTATAGCTGATTGATTCATTGGATATTTTGCTTGCTCAGTTATTGGTTTAAGTACACGAACAATACTTTCAGCTGGTAAATATTGAGCTGCAGCATGAGCTGCTTGTTCAGCTGAACGAGTTATCTAAATAACAAAAAGTTCAAAGAACTTTGCCGTGACTTATCTTGAATCAGGATGTCATAGAGCGATTTGCGATCCATCGAATGATATATATATGAAATCGAACAAAGGAAACTTCCTCAAAAATTGCACATTATCAAGCTCTACATCTTTCAAAACAAATACGACTCATTATCAACTTGTCAGATTGTCCCTTAGATTAGACTATTTTCCTATATGAGGTGGCGAGTATGTTGATAATATTTTAATGATCCTATAAAAAAATTTTTATGTACTAATAATCAGCCAAGCATACCTGATGAACTGATATAAATAACTCATTTATAAATGGAAAAAAAAGTGTTTGATTTCCAGATCCCTGGAGAGTAGTACAGGAATAAAAGAAATTTATTTTTGAAATGAACATAAAATATTTATAGATCGTTAGAGAATTTCATGCATAAATCAAACTAAGATATTCGAAACAAAAAATAGCAGACCTCTTTTCTACAACCATATGGAGGGTCGGAATTTCAACAATTGCAGAAATTCTGGTATCCGTACTTCTCCTTTGCAGAGGTCTACAGAACAAACAATTTTTTTTTCCTTCTATAAACGAGTTATTTATATAAGTTCATCAGGGATGCTTGGCTGATTATTCCTATATAAAAATTTTTAATAAGATTATTAAAATATCATCAAAATACCCGTCGCTTTATACAGAAAAATAGTCTAACTTAAGGGACAAACTTGGAAGTTAATAATGAGTCCTGGATGTTTCTAAAAGTTGTAGAACTCGACAATGAGCAAATTTTGAGGAAATTCCATTTGTTCTAGGGCGCAAAGTTAAACATACTGAAATATCAATTAGTCAAGAAATTATTTAGATCTAAGAAAAGGTACTAAGTTTTAAGTATGAAGAAATTAACAATGAAAACTAGGGATGTCGCATTGGTGTTA